TAAACTGCAAACATATGTACTTTGACCGAAACATGATTGACAGATCAAAATGGAATCGATAGAAACTGCAAAACACAGCTTTTACAGCATACCTCTAACATCCCACACCTTGGGAAACACGTCCAGCTCTCTTTCTCTCTCTTCCAAGGAGTTCTTCTATTTCTTGTGCTCCACTGATACAAGATCTAGAAAGCTGTTTGAGAATACAGTAGAAGATCTTAAGGTATATAGAGATTCCAATCATACATCCAAACCGGAGACCAAAACCAGCAAGTGACCATACCACGACGACCAGGACGACGAGACGAAGAGATCGCCGTCGAGATCGCCGCCGCACGCCGCCGCACGAGCCGCCTGAAGGAAGCTGCTGCTGGAACTTGTCGTCGCGCGTGAGAGCGCGTGAGAAGGCCGATTTCCGATCGGTCAACGCCGTTGACTTCGCCGTGACGTCAACTTTCTGGATTGGTCAAGTTTGTTCGATTCCGAGAAGATTTGATTTGCGATCAACTGTTCGGGCCAGCCAGATCTACATAAATTTTAAGCAGTAAGTTTTCTTCATCAAACCTTTAGATCCGCTGCGCATAGGTTTATGTTGAATGTTTGTCCGTGATTTGTGCATATCGAGATCCTCATGGGTTCCAACACCTACGAGCAAATCCAGTACGCTCGTGAATCTGGTGAGCCCAATGGTCTGCAACGTGGTGGTCCATGATAAAGGTACTCTTGCTAACACTGACAAGCTGACCAGATGTCTCACTGTAGTGGTCCAAAAGACTCATGAGAGCAACTAGCCCATTATCATTCGCACGAGTGAAAAATGATAATGTCATCCGCGTAAGAAAGGTGGGAAATGGAAGGCCCACAGCCACGCGTGCTGTAGGTCATCCTCGGAAAATCGCGAATGAAGTCGCCAAGGCAGCGAGAGAGATAGTCAGCCACTAGAACAAAAAGGGAGGGGATAAGGGGTCCCCCTGACGCAGGCCGCAGGTAGAAGGGAAAAAAGTCGTGGGGCTACCATTAATCAAAACGGAGAATGTGTAGTGTTCTACACACGCCTCCACAAAGCTAATCCAACGGTTAGGGAATCCCATCCGAGACAGTACCTCTCTGAGAAACGACCACTCGACCCTATCATATGCTTTGGCCATGTCTAGCTTCAGCATAAGGTTCGGGGTTCGTGTTCGATTCGCATGAGAGATGTCGTGTATCATCTCCTGAGCCAGTAGGATATTATCACTAATGAATCGATCCTTGATGAATCCACTCTGGTTCGGAGAGACAAGGTGGGGGAGGAGAGGGGCGAGGCGACTGTTGAGGATTCTAGAAATGATCTTGTTAGTCACGTTGCATAAGCTAATAGGTCTATAGTCAGACCAAGTACTAAGTCCCGATATTTTCGAGATCAAAATGATGGAGGTCGCCGTGAAGGACTCTGGCATCTGGTGGCCAGAGAAAAAATCCCTCACAGCTTCCTCTACGTTAGTACCCACGATCTCCCAGCAAGACTGGAAGAAGAGAGACGAAAAACCATCCGGTTCGGAGACGCTGTTGGGATCTATCCCAAACACAGCCTCCCTGACTTTCTCCTTACTCGGGAGGTCACAGGGGTCAACAAGGTCGACCGACTGCGGGATGGTTGGAAAGAGGGTCGGGTCGGGGTGCGTAAGCAAATCCCGCTCAGAGGAAAAGAGAGAGTGGAAGTAAGCCCTAGCCGACTCCCGTATCTAGGACTCCTGGGTCACAGAAGACCCGTTACCTTCGACACTATGGATATACGACTTTACTCGCTTCTGCCTCACAAATCCCTGGAAGAACTTGGTATTACGCTCCCCCTCAACCACCCAGCGCACAACAACCTTCTGTTTCTAGAAATCTTCCTCCATGAGGAGGCGCAACTGGTACTCAGCATGGCAGCGGCGCATCTCGGACCTATTCTCTGGCGAAGAATCCAAATCATAGGTCCGTTCCGCTTCTGCATACGCAGTCTGAGCAGCAGTAAGGCGCTAAGAAATATCACCAAAAATCGTCCAGTTCCACTGCTTCAAAACGCGGCGGAGTCTCTTGAGCTTCTCCTCCAGGTTGCGCATCCCATAGAGGTGTGTAGCCTGCTGCCAGGAGGCTCTAACAGTATCGTAGTAAGAATGGTGGCAGAGCCACATGTTCTGGAAACGGAAGGACACACGCCGCGGGGAAATAGAGAACCGACAACGAATCAGAAGGGGGGCATGGTCGGATCCAATTCGAGGAAGGTGCGTTACAACCATGGTCGCAAACACCCTCGTCCACGCCTCTGAGTAGAGAGCACGGTCGAGCCTCTCCTTGACTCCGGCCCTCTCCCACGTAAAGGGAGCCCCTTCGTAACCAGCGTCGATGAGCTTAAAATCCGATACAGCGTGCGAGAAATCTAAGATCTCTACAGAGCGGTCCGATATACCACCAATGCATTCATCGGGATGCCAGAATATGTTGAAATCACCGCTAATCATCCACGGTAATCCCTCCATACTCTCAGCAATCTCACGCATGGTGTCCCAGAGGTCATAGCGACCAACCCTCGCACAGCTGGCGTAAACCAAAGTGTGGAAGATCGGCTCTGGAAGATGGGCGGCGGTGAGCTTCACGTGCAAGACTTGATCAGTATCTCGAAGGATCTGACAAGTAAAGTCACGCGAGTGGAAAAACCAAATCTTGTTAGAGGTGTTTCCCATCCCGGCATGAAAACCAAGGCGTCGCGAATATACGTCAAAAGAAGGGTCACGAGTCATAGGCTCTAAGAAAGCCGCAAAGTCAAGGTTATGCTCACGATTGAGAGATTAAATGTGCGATTATTATGCGACATGTTATGCGAAACGCGCAATCAACTCAATTGCGCGATTATTATGGGACATGTGTGATGTGTGAGGTCAACCCAATTCCGATTTCGACAATTTACCTGGATTACGAACATTTGCTTCTCATTGACCTCTTTGTCTTCGTCGCCTGAGTCACCATTGTGCGTGTTGGTTTGGTCATCATTATTGTCATCGTCACGAGAATGACCTAGTTGGTTCGAACAACCCGAGGTTTGATCATCAGCGCCCCGAGGATATCCAGTATGTGTAAATGAACTAGGGCCTGCTTGATGTGAATATGGGGCCTCATGGGAAAATGCAGAACTACCAACACCAAAAGAACTCGGAAATACACCTTGGGACGCCATCATTTGCGTGAAGCTTTGTTGCGCCGTCCCCGAAATCCCTACATTTACTCGCTTCTCCAACTCCACGTAAATGTTTGGATTTCTTTGTTCTTCAATCAGCTCTAAGATATCCTCACTGGATTCTATTTTCATCTTCACAACTCGTTCCCTTCCATCAAATACTGCCCACAATATGTACTCAAAATTACAAGGATTGGCCTTTAATAAGGCTTGAACACGAGAAACTACTTCAGAATACATTTGTCGACCGTAATTTATTCTCATCAGCTCCGCCACTCCACCAAGATATGAACCCTCGCAAAACGAACCACCAAAGTGCACCAATACTCTAACACGGTTGCTAGCCATTCAAATAAGTGAACAACAAAAAGAACTAAAAAAAAGAAATAGAAAAATGCAGTAGATGAATGGTGCAGGCGTTAAATTGTTAGAGATCGCTGTTTTTTTGCCTACATGATAAATGCAGAGACCAAATCCTCACATGTGAAAAAGCAGTCAATTAATGAGGTGCGCAACTTATGTGAAAGATCTGCGAACGAATTCCGAATAGTCGTAAAATTGCGAGGTCGATATGGCCCTGCGAAAAATGGCGCATAATCGTAAAAAAAAACTATGCTTTATTCGATTTGGTTATGTGATTCTTAAATATGCGAGCGAAAAAATGTCACATAGTTGTCAATTATCCGGAGGATATATGCGAAATTGTTTCGCATATTAGTAAATTATGCGCTTGACATGGATATGCAATTACCAGAAAATGCGTATTCAACAAACTATGTGAATTAGATGCAAAATATTTTCACAGTCATAAATTTGCAAGGTTGATATAGCCCTGCGATAAGAAGGCGCATAATCATCGTAAATTATGCTGCAATCGATTTGTATATGCGATTATTAAAAATGCGAAAGATGTTCGCACATTTCTAAATTATGCGTGTGATGTGGATATGCAATTAAAACAATGCGAAATGTTTACGCATTGTCATAAATTATGCGGCCGATTGGATATGCACTGGTTCATTTGGACATGCGAGTGTAATATCGCATAGCATTTCATAAGTGTTGGAGTATAAAAGAAGTTATTTGATGAGACGGTGTGTAAAAGAAAAAATAGATTTATAATGGGGTGAACCCTATAAATTTTGTATAAAAGTTTGAATAAAAATTTCTATTTTTTTAATTAATTACGTCATTCACTACTAATAAATTAATTAATTCCAAGAACTACAAAGTCCAATAAAGCGTGGGGGAGGAGGCACTGTCCTCGTGTCCCCAGTTTTCTCTCTCCTCTACTTTTATCCAACTCCAATAATTCACACAGATCCACAGATCGCCTCCGCTGCTAGCTTGATTACTTTCGGCCATCGACGAAGCGAAATGACGGCGGGTGGTTCATCGACGGGTCGTCTGCCGACGTGGAAGGAGAGGGAGAACAACAAGAGGCGGGAGCGGAGGAGAAGGGCCATCGCCGCCAAGATTTACGCCGGACTCCGAGCTCAGGGCAGTTACAAGCTCCCCAAGCACTGCGACAACAACGAGGTCCTCAAGGCCCTCTGTGCCGAGGCCGGTTGGGTCGTCGAGGAAGATGGCACCACTTATCGCAAGGTAAGCCTCAATTTTCTTTGTTTATGGTGCTCCGATGTTCTTAATCTGGTTGATTTGTTGGCGAGTTCGGTTGTTGGTAGTTCATGCCTCTCGATCCGCCGTGTTGGATCTGATCTGGTTTACCTGCGTCCCCGGCTTTATTGGAAAAGATTTCTGATTGCTCTTTTAGCTGATTCCTAAGCAGGAGAATTTGTGTGTGTTTTTTTTTTTTAATTTCTTTCATTGTCATTCTGGTCTCATTAATCTATTGATTAATTAATTAATTGTTGTTTTTGTGTATTAAAAAACTTTCTTACCAAAACTTGATTGAGAGAATTTCTGGTGAAGTGATTAACAATTTTCCCTTAACCTTATATATATCAAGAATTTAGGATCATGCTTGCTTTGGAATTTCCAATTCCCAGTGTTTCTCTTTATGTATGTATATGCTTGTGTTTGCCATTATTTCTCAAGAAAATTACTTTCACAGTGATGATTCAATGCTGTTTGACTTCATAAGCCCATAAAAAACCTGACTGCCATTACAATTAAACTCTGGCAGGGTTGTAAGCCACCGCCACCCGAGGCCGGAACACCATTAAGAAACATCAGCCTCTGTTCCTCAATCCAACCGAGCCCAAACTCCTCAGCCTTTCCGAGCCCAGCCCCATCGTACCCCGCCAGCCCGACATCCTCTTCTTTCCCAAGCCCAACACGCGGTGACGAGCCCACGTCCTACATTCTCCCTTTCCTCCACAACCTAGCTTCCATCCCCTCTTCTCTCCCTCCCCTGCGCATTTCCAATAGTGCCCCCGTGACCCCACCTCTTTCCTCCCCGACTAGAAACTCAAAGCCCAAGTCCCATTGGGAGCCCATTTCGAACGAGTCCTTGAATTCTTTCCTACACCCTGTCGTGGCTGCTTCCTGCCCGTCCAGCCCATCCCGCCGCCGGCGCTTCAGGCCAGTCCCGATCCCGGAGTGCGACGAGACCGATTTTCCGACCGCAAATTCGGCCCGTTGGGTCAGTTTCCAGTCGGTCCCGCCATCTCCGGGTTGCCCGGCCTCGCCGACTTACAATCTCGTGAAGCCCACAAATGCAGGGGATGGCTATGGCGGCGGGTTTGGGTGGGGCCCAGCGGCCAAGAGGGCTTGCGGGCCCGAGTTTGAGTTCGAGAGTTGCGCGGTTAAGGCGTGGGAGGGCGAGAAGATAACCGAATTTGGGGTGGATGAGTTGGAGCTTACGCTTGGGACTGGAAAAACTTGCGCTTAGCAGATAATCAGGGAAGGCTTTTTATCTGTGGTTTACTGTTTGGGGCATACATGAAAGAATCACGTTTGGCCATGAATTTGTTGATTAAGCATTTATGGACTCGGTTCATCGTCATTCTTTAGAGTGTATTTTATACAATCTTGAGAACGTGTACAAAAAGAATCGAAATTGAGAAACTCAGATTAGTAAGTACTTTATGTCGTTGGTTTCTCTTGCTGAAAATGGCCAGAGTTTGTATGTTGTTGTAATCTATGTTGCATTTGCAACACATTGAGATGTATACACCATCCACTAGTTAGAGATGGCAAAAAATGATCAATATTATTATTCTATGGGAGCATGTGCTTACATTTATGCTTTCATAAGTGTTAGGGGATGCTTGGTACAATACTTGTGCTTTCCTATAGAGTAGAGGATGCTTGCTACAAAGACTTAGGATGTGGGAATGGGAAAGGGAATGATGTTGGATGGTTTGTGGAGTTCAACTACTGCTATCATTCCTCAATTTTGAGGTCTTGAATCACTTCTTTAGGAGGCGATTGGATATGGATTAAATCGGTTATGATCAAACTTCAATTTTAAATCTTTTTTTTTTAAAATAATTCTTTTTTTTTTTTGGTACAGGGACCTTCCGGTTTTCGGATCCACATGGGAACCGACTCATCAAATTGAATTTTTGAGAGATGCTACGGTCTCATTACGGAACCATTTCGTCGAGGTTTGTAACCGTTAGATCAACTATTCCCGACGGTTACATAATGATCTAACGGTTACAAACTCCGACAGAATTGTTTCGTAACATGACCGTAGTATTTCCCTGAATTATAATTGGTTTAATCCATATCCAATGGCCCCCTTAATACTTGTAGACACACTTCCTATTCAAGAATGGTCACGTTTGTAAATGTTGGCTTGAAAGAAAACATCTTTAATCGCATGGCCCCCTTCACCCATGTGACATATTATCTCTTTTGTACATGTTTGGTGCCATTCCACGCTTGGCTTTTAATGTGACAGCCATTGTTTTTTTTTTTT